ATATATTGAATATATATTTTTTAAATGTTATTTTGAATTTTTAAAAATTATGAAAAAACAAGTGACTGTTGAAAAGTGGCTGTTTGCTCCAAGGGGTGTTTTGAAAAGTTGTGACTGTTAGAAGCACCTTTTCAAAACCTATAAATAGTTTATGTTTTCAGATATCTATTAACAATTCTTTTCTGAATCTTTTCTATCAAAAACTTCTGCAATATTATAAACTTGTTTCACAACGAATTATGGAAAATTCCAGATTTGCTTACTGGAATTTTATTTTCTGTTGTATCCTGGGAAGAAAATTTACATTAATCCGAAGCAACTTTGAATATCAAGTGGGGATAAATATTTCTTTAAGGAAAGTGTTTCACACCTCAGAATTTCTGTCTCCTTCAATTTTAAAACTAACATATCCATCTTATAGACCAGACGACCATTGACTATAAAAAAATTAATAGTATATAATAAGATATAGAGACGATCGATGTAGGTAATCGCGATGAAAATTAGATGTCGTAACTTCAAGCTACATATGCGGTTCAAAGAATAAAAACGTAACTTAAATGGAAATAAATCTCATAGGTTAATAAAAGGAAATGCACAACTTTAAAGAGAATAAATTTGATATGGTCTTCTTGTACATTTTAATTACATAATCATCACCAATCAACAAGATCCAATGATGGAGAGAGGTCATGCATCTTAGTTACACCCTAGCTGTATTGTAAGGCTACCTATATATATATACATACATATATATATATAATTGGGTAAAATATATAGTCAGTCTTATATACAATTAATGCATAACTAGTTTTGATAGCACAAATTAATTTGTTCTGAAATTTTCATTGTTCCAGTCAATCAACACTTTTTTTTTTGATGTATGCCAACAGACGAGGTCTGCCTTGATCAAATCCAAAGAACTACAGGGACCTCATCTCATCCGACGAACTTTTATTGTCGATGCAGCGTCCATTCAGTCCTCGAAGAAACAAGCCACCACACAACAAGTAGTAGTGCCTTCAACTTGTTAGGATATGTGAAGCCTAATTATCAGGCGTGTCCTACACTTCAGAATGAAGAGGAACAAAGTTGGAACAAGAGGAACAGGATCGACGATGGCAAAGTTCAAGCAAAACGACGAAGGAGAGCTTTTACAGCTTTGCGGTCGACCGCCCATGGCGCGGCGGTCGACCGACGACGTGCACAGGCAGGCACTAGGGTGAGGAGCAGCTCGCGGTCGACCGAGCATGGCGCTGCGGTCAACCGCTCAAAGTCCAGAGAGCTACCCAGTTTTTCAGTCTTCGTCGCGGTCGACCGAAGGTGACGCAGCGGTCGACCGCCCAAAGTCCAGAGAGCAATCCAAATTTTTGGCTTCGTCGTGGTCAACCGAGCATGGCGCTGCGGTCGACCGCCAAAAGTCCAGAGAGCCAGGCAGATTTCGAACAGCATCGCGGTTAGGGCATGATGTAAGAAGACGAAAAATAGTGAATTTTTCTCCTGCGGCGGCCGTGGACGTAGTTTCTCACATTGAGAAGCGAACCACGTAAATCTTGTGTATTTGAGATTGGTTATTTTTCTCTTCTCTCCTAAATCTCTATTTCCAAATTGCATTAGGGGGGTTGTGTATCCCCAACAAGTGGTATCAGAGCGACCAGGTTCGGCGCGAGCGATTTGAGGTCAGAGACAATGGGATCTGAGAAGGAAACATCCAAGATTGAAAAGTTTGATGGAACAAACTTCGGGTTCTGGAAGATGCAAATGGAAGACTACCTCTATCAGAAATATTTATACCTACCATTGGGAGAGAAGCCGACGGATATAAAGGATGCGGATTGGAAGCTATTGGATCGAAAGGCCCTTGGAGCGATCAGGTTAACCTTGTCTAAATCAGTAGCGTTCAACATCAAGAATCAGAATACGACGGCGGATCTCATGGTGGCGTTGTCTAGTATGTATGAGCAGCCCTCTGCGGCGAATAAGGTACATCTCATTAAAAAGCTGTTTAACTTGAGGATGTCCGAGCGCCAGAAATTCAAGGAACACCTGAACGAGTTTAACGAGATCACGGATCAATTAAACTCGGTCAACATTCAGTTTGACGATGAAATCCAAGCCCTCTTGATACTTGGTCAATTGCCCGACAGTTGGAAGGGTACCGTTATCTCGATTAGCGGATCATGTGGCAAATCAAAACTGAAGTTTTCAGAGGTGGTGGACATGATTATGACTGAGGAGATTAGAAGGCAAGAGGAAGGGATTTCTAATTCAGGGTCGGCCTTGAATCTTGAGGGCAGAGGAAGAAACAGAAACAGAAATAGAGGGAGTAGCCGAGGAAGATCTAACTCGAGGAACGGAAGGCCAAAGTCCAGGAACCGCAAGGGCAAGAAGGAAATTGACTGCTGGAATTGTGGCAAGTTTGGTCACTATGAAAATCAGTGCCGAGAACCCAAGAAAGACAAGGAGAACAAGACTGAAGCGAACGTGGCCTCAGGAGAATCAGATGATGCCCTAATCTGTTCGTTGGAGAGCAAAACTGAATCGTGGGTGCTGGATTCAGGAGCTTCGTTTCATGCTACCTCAAATAGAGATTTATTTGAGAACTACGTTTCAGGAAACCTAGGAAAAGTCTATCTTGGTGATGATCAGCCTTGTGATATTGTTGGCAAAGGAGTCGTGCAAATCAAGCTCAATGGGTCTACATGGAAGCTGAGTGATGTGAGACATGTTCCTAGCTTGAGGAAAAATCTGATTTCCATAGGACAATTGGCAAAAGAGGGATACGTTTCAACCTTCGCATGTGATACATGGAAGGTTACAAAGGGATCCATGGTTGTTGCCCGTGGTACGAAGACTGGATCTCTCTACATGACGATAGATGCACGAGGTTCCATTGCAGTGGCTGAAAGTAATGAAGACCCAAATTTGTGGCACCAGAGGCTAGGTCACATGAGTAGCAAAGGTCTAAAGGTTATGCAGTCGAATGAGAAGTTACCAGGTTTGAGATCGGATGATATTGACTTATGTGAAAGTTGTATTCTTGGGAAACAAAAGAGAATAATCTTCAAAAGGGTTGGCAGAACCCCTAAAGAAGAGAAGCTTGAGTTAGTTCACACAGACGTGTGGGGTCCAGTATCAGTACCATCCACCGGCGGAAGGTTATACTTTGTGACCTTCATAGATGATCACTCGAGGAAGACTTGAGTCTATTTCATGAAACACAAATCAGAAGTGTTTGAAGTCTTCAAGAGATGGAAGGCTATGGTTGAGAACGAGACCGGTTTGAAGATCAAGAAGCTTCGTTCTGACAACGGAGGCGAGTATGAAGACTCAGAGTTCAAGAGGTTCTGTTATGACAGCGGCATTAGATTAGAGAGGACAGTGCCAGGTACACCCCAGCAGAATGGTGTAGCAGAACGGATGAACAGAACTTTGACTGAGAGAGCCAGAAGTATGCGGTTACAAGCAGGTTTTCCAAAGCAATTCTGGGCAGAAGCAGTCAACACAGCTGCCTACTTGATCAACCGGGGGGCCATCAATGCCTTTGGAGCACAAAATACCTGAAGAAGTATGGAGTGGAAAGCAGGTAAACCTTTCTCACCTGAGAGTATTTGGTTGTGTTTCTTATGTTCATCTGAGTGATCATGCAAGAAACAAACTTGATCCTAAGTCTCTGAAATGTTTCTTTGTTGGCTATGGCGGTGATGAGTTTGGCTACAAGTTCTGGGATGAGCAGAACAAGAAAATCATCAGAAGCAGGGATATGGTCTTTAATGAAACAGTCCTCTACAAAGACTGTGATGTCGTTCAGTCCACTAGTTCGACACAGAGTGATCCTAAATATTTCGAGTCAGATGTTGCCTCAGATGGAGGCAATCCCGAATCTAGTTCTGATGAAGAAGAAGAGTTGATGGATGAGACCACTTCAGAGGAGGCAGATGAAGATGGAGAGACTATTTCGCCCATAAGAGAGTTGAGGCGGTCAGCTAGAGTCCCCAAGCCCAATCCAAAGTATCCATCACTACAGCCCAGAGCTTATCTTAACTACCTATTATTGAGTGACGGTGGAGAGCCAGAAAGTTATGATGAGGCCCTTCGAGTGGATGATGTGAGCAAGTGGGAGCTTGCTATGAAAGATGAAATAAAATCCTTGAACACCAACAAGACATGGGAACTTGTGAAGCTACCAACGGGGAAAAAAAGCCTTGAGCATCAAATGGGTGTACAGAATCAAAGAGGAACATGATGGTTCCAAGAGATACAAGGCTAGATTGGTGGTTAAAGGATTTCAGCAAAGAGAAGGAGTTGATTACACAGAGATCTTCTCTCCAGTAGTTAAACTAACTACCATCAGAACAGTCCTGAGTATTGTTGCAGCTGAAGATCTACATCTCGAGCAGCTAGATGTAAAGACAGCTTTCCTCCATGGTGACCTAGAGGAAGAGATATATATGCAGCAGCCAGAGGGGTTTACTCAGAAAGGAAAAGAGAAGATGGTATGCAGATTGAAGAAGAGCTTGTACGGCCTAAAACAAGCTCCAAGGCAATGGTACAAAAAGTTTGATGGATTCATGCACAGGAACGGTTATTCCAGATGCAATGCTGATCATTGCTGTTTTGTCAAAGAGTTTGACAAAAGTTACATCATCCTGCTCCTATATGTCGACGACATGCTTGTAGCCGGTTCAGATATGACAGAGATCAAGAAGCTGAAGAAGCAACTGTCGAGTGAGTTCGACATGAAGGATCTAGGCGCAGCGAAGCAGATATTGGGAATGAAGATCAGTAGAGATAAACTCTTGGGCACACTGCGGCTATCTCAGGCCGAGTACATTAGACGGGTGCTTGAGAGATTCGGGATGAGTGGTGCTAAGGCCGTTAGCACACCGTTAGCCAGTCTCTTCAAACTGACTAAGGAGCAGTGTCCTGAGACTGATGAAGAGAAAGAATACATGGCTAAGGTTCCATAAGCTTCAGCCATTAGAAGCCTTATGTACGCCATGGTATGCACGAGACCCGACATTGCCCATGCAGTGAGAGCTGTGAGCAGATTTATGTCAGATCCAGGAGAGCAGCACTAGGAAGCAGTAAAGTGGATTCTTAGATACCTGCGAGGTACTATAGAAGATTGTCTATGCTTCAGAAGAGGCAAGTTAGTCCTGCAGGGTTTTGTTGATGCAGACTATGCTGGTGAGATAGACCAGAGAAGGAGCACTACAGGATATGTATTCACTTTGGGCTCTACAGCTATTAGTTGGGTTTCTCAGTTGCAGAAAATCGTTGCTTTATCAACGACAGAGGCTGAATATGTTGCGGTGACAGAGGCAAGCAAGGAGATGATATGGTTACAGGGTTTCTTGGAGGAGCTGGGACAGAAGAGTGAGAAGAGTGTCTTACATTGTGATAGCCAGAGCGCAATTCATTTGGCAAAGAACCCCGCTTTTCATGCAAGGACCAAACACATACAGGTCCGCTACCACTTCATAAGATAAGCATTGGACGAGGACATGTTGGAACTTGTGAAGATTCAAGGAAGCAAGAACCCAGCTGATATGCTTACCAAGGTTGTCACTACAGAGAAACTGAAGTTGTACTCAACTTCAGTTGGCCTCAACACTTGATGATACGGAGGCCGTCGCCGCAGAGAGAGCTGAAAGAGGTTGATAGTTAGTCTCTAAGTGGGAGATTGTTAGGATATGTGAAGCCTAACTATCAGGCGTGTCCTACACTTCAGAATGAAGAGGAACAAAGTTGGAACAAGAGGAACAAGATCGACGATGGCAAAGTTCAAGCAAAACGACGAAGGAGAGCTATTACAGCTTTGCAGTCGACCGCCCATGGCGCGGCGGTCGACCGATGACGTGCACAGGTAGGCACTAGGGTGAGGAGCAGCTCGCGGTCTTCGTCGCGGTCGACCGCACGTGGTGCTGCGGTCGACCGGAGTCGGGTTTTGGCCCAGATTCGAATTTTGACCTGTTTTGATCTGTTTCCTTTTTTACTTGTTAAACCCTTAAGTCTATAAAAGGGTTGATTAGGGCATGATGTATTAAGACGAAAAATAGTGAATTTTTCTCCTGCGGTGGCCGTGGACGTAGTTTCTCACATTGAGAAGCGAACCACGTAAATCTTGTGTGTTTGAGATTGTTTGATTTTCTCTCTTCTCTCCTAAATCTCTATTTCCAAATCGCATCAGGGGGGTTGTGTATCCCCAACACAACTTTCATAGCCATTTCGGCCCATGCTTGGATCTCCATTGCCCGAACTAGATCCTTTGACCCGAACACGGAGCTAACCTTCGTATTCCTCATGGACTGCCGAGCTCGACTCAACCCGCCTGTTTCAGACGACTATCTTGGCAACTGTGTCCTTGCAGTAATGGCCAAGTGCATGGCCGGCGAACTGACAGGAGAACAAGGGCTAGTGAAGGCTTGCACATCAATTCGTAAGTCGATTGACCAAGTTTCAAAAGATCCGTTGAGTGGCTATGAGGACCAGATTGCTGATTTTAAATCATTGCCGATCGAGAGCCATGTCAATGCAACTGCGTCGCCAAGGTTTAGGGTTTATGAGGCTGATTTTGGGTGGGGTGCACCGGACAGGTTCGAGTCGGTGTCGATGAATCTCAATGGGGAGTTTGCTTTGGTTGGCGGGAGAGAAGAGGGGACGGTTCAAGTGTCAGTTCAACTTGATGAGGGTCGTATGGAGAAATTTGCCCACTTGTTTTTGGGTGGATTTAGCAGGTAATTAAGTACTGTTTGAATTCTATTCATTATCAAGGTGTAATGGAAAGACTGCTCCTTTATTGATTGTGAAATGTATAATTAGTTACAAATAGTGATCTTCCCACTACTCCTGGGAGCAAATATGGATATGCACCAGAGAGTCACGTGGGAGCAAATATGTGCACGTACCGTTTCTAATTGTCGTATAATGTCCACCACATAGGCTAGAATTGGCTCATGAGCAAGTACCATGATTTAAATAAATATAAAATAAATTTATTCAATAAAAGAGTTTTGGAGTGTGGAGTTTTTGTAAAAAGTTTTCCAAAACCTAGATTAAGTTTTAAACTATATATCTATTATAGTAAGTGTTTTAATAAACAAAAATACACTACACCCTAGTGGTAAAATTTTTTTTTGAACAAATCATAGGTCATATGTTCGAGACTTGTCACTCATTTAATCTAATAATTCTCCGTAAGTTTAATATCGGTCTTGAACCTGGACCTAGATTGAGGTTTGAATCAAGCTCAGGTACTTTGTGTTGACCCTATAGTTTTGATGATGATTTGTCAAACAATTTATTGCTAATATATTCTCTAGTTTTGTTTTTATGTTTCTCTTTACAGGTATTTCAACACACGACAATCAAGCGTTAAAGATTCAAGTTCATATGTGTGGAGTTTCCTAGGTATAAGAGTAGTTTACTTACATATATTGTATGTTTATATTTAAGCTCAATATATGTACACTTAACACGATTTTTGACGTTTTCTATCATATAAATGATTTTTCATCAAACGTTGTTACAATATCTTTTATTTCATGTTTACAGCTCATTCATACTTTATTATATACATATAATATATGCATGATATATATATACATGTTTATAAGTCATATCAAAATTTTCATATTCGTAAAATACAGGTTTTACAAACACTTTTCAAAAATAGTGTGTTTTTGCAAACAAAAATTATTTTTCTAAAAATTCCTTTTCTAACATGTTCATTTTATCATTTAGAAACTTTTTCCAAAGTTTTAATATTTTTGGAATTAATTTGCTATTTTTAAAGTATTTTCAAAATCGGCCAAAAACAGGTTTTCAGGATGTGTCAGTTTGCGGTCGACCGCCACGGTCGACCGCCATGGACAAATTTTCAAAGTCTGGCTTTTATGTGCTCGCGGCCCCATTGCTCTTCTATTTCAGTAACTAAGAAAACCAAGAGTTTTGTTTTTACAAGAAGTTTTAACAAAGGTTTAAGAGGCGTTTAAAGAGCTGTTAAGCTAATTTTCGTTAATCTACTTCAAGAGAAGTTTTCTACAACAAGAAGTGGCTTTCAATTCCTATTGGAATCATCATCTACTACTCTTCTTGTTTATTGAGAAGTTTTCTAAACTCTTCCTTATATAGCTTACTATTTCATTTTCATTTATTTAGCTATATTTATTGAGTTGTATTATTTTCATTCACTGTTATCACACACACATACTGATCTTAATATCTTCATACTATATAGTGTGGGTTGTGGAGTGTGATTTAGTAAGTGTAAGCTTCTTTTGCGTTCTCATTTGTTATTGAGAACAAACCATTGTATTTAATCTTTATTTGTGAGTTTCACTTGTAATACACTTGTACACCGAGAGAAGTGTGAGGCGAGAGACGGGGTCGAATCCAATAGGAGTGGCGTCGGTTGACGAACCTAGGGAGAGGTTGTATCCGAGCACTTGAGGAGGAGAACATGGGCTAGGTTCCTACACTTAGTGTGTAAAGTGTGATTACATAGTGTTTATTGTGTGAGAGTTTTCGGTAAGCTTGTAAACTGAGTGTGTAGAAGTTCCGGCTTCCAAACCGGATTGTGATAGTGGAGATCTCCTCGAGGTGAGGAGCGGGGACGTTGGTCATGGTGACCGAACCTCGTAAACATATTGTTTATTTGTGTTTTGCTTAGCGTACTTTTTATTTGTTCTTTTTCATATCTCTCTTGCTCATATCTATCTTATATCATTCTTGCAAGAACAAATTAATTAACATAATTTTAATTGGCTTTTAATTGGGATTAGATTAGCATAAGACCCTAATCAACCCCCCCTCTCTAGGGTCTAACAATTGGTATCAGAGCTTGGTGCTCTTTGATTTAAGGACTAATCGCCTTGAGTTAAAGATCCAAGTTATCATTTTCATGCTAATCTAGTGTTGATTGCTTTTTGCTTCTTGCATATAATCATTATGGATATGTATGATGCATCTAGTCTAGGTTATGCTATTAATGTTGCTCCTCGTTTGGATATTTTTCCCTATGCTCAATGGCGTGTTAGATTCAAACCTTTTGTTCAATCTAAACAATTCGATTTATGGGAGATTATTGAGGATGCCTATGTTGTTCCCATTTTGGAAAAATCCAAATGGAGTAAAAATGATAAAAGATTGTTTAACATGAACAAGCTCTTGTTAGAATATTTGCTTAATGCCTTTCACTCATTATTTTCTAACAAATTTGCTTATTTTGATAGTGCTTACACCTTATGGAAATTTATTGAAGCACATGAAGGAGACTCGGAGGCTGTTCAAAAAGCGTTGGAAGATCACGCTTTAAGCTCTAAGAAAGCCTCATCTCCATGTACAATACCACTAGGTGATAACCCTAGTGAGGTATGCAATCTTGATAACGATGATATTATTACTTTTGATGAACTTGCTCTTGAGTTTAAAAAATTACACAATTGCTATATTGATGTAAAGAGTAAGTATGTAAATATAAAATCCACTCATGAAACACTAGCCACTAAGTTTAATTTTATTGCAAATGAAAATATAATTCTTAAATAATGCAATGAAAAATTGAGAATTGAAAATGCTAGTTTGCTTCATGAAAAACATGATGCTATGTTAGAAGTAGATAAGTTGAAATCTATGATGAAAAATCTTGTTTATCCTACTTCTAGTAGCAATGCTTGTATGCACAATGATGAGTTGAATCAAATGAGAAAACGTATATCCACCTTAGATTCAACACTAAACACTTGTATTGCTAATAATAAAAAGCTTATGGACTTATGTGCAAAGTTCAATGTTAATTCTTCTAAGAAACCTATTCACTATAAATATATTTATGACAAAATTCACAAATGTTCTATTTGCGGTCTTAAAGGCCATTTAGCTCAATTTTGTCATAATGCACCAAAAATTGACAAGCCTATTCATGATTGTGCATCCCATCAAGCTTCTTCATTACATACACATGTACACACACATAGTGTAAATCATAGACATGCTCATGTGTACAAATGTGATTATTGTGGTCGTTTTGGTCATTTGACCATGTTTTGTTTTGATTTAAAAAGAAATTCTCGTTTGCAAAATAATTACAAAGAAAAATCTATTCTTGCAAATGAACCACGTGCATTTCATTTCGGTCAACGTAAACCATTCAAACCTCTACATTGCACAAATTGTAATCGTATGGGTCATGTTTACAATTTTTGCTTTGATCGTATCGGTGCACAAAATACGCCCAAGGAGGTTCATAACCCTAGGGCCTTGGATGTAAATGATAGGGGTCATATCCCAAATTTTAGTGGTACCAAAATGATTTGGGTACCAAAATGATTTTTATATCAATTTTTTGTTTTTGTTTGTTTTGTTCATTTTGTTTTTTGAATAATTGGGTTTTGAGTTTTAAATGATGAACTTTATTTTTATTAAGTATTTCTCATGTTTTTAAATAGCTAAAAAAACTTTATATGTATTTATATATCTTATAAAACAATTTTATTAAGGACCAAAATGAAATCTTTCCTATAATCCAGGTTTTAAAGATGTCTATGCATGTATATTTCTCGCGGTCGACCTTAAATGTTTCTGGAAATTGTTACGGTCGACCGTCACGGTCGACCGCAAGAGATTCATTTGGTTTTCTGCTCTTTTTCGTTATCGGGTTTCGGTTTATTTGGTTAAATTTTTTTTTAAACCCGTTTCTCCACCACCGTCGATCTTGATCTGATCTAATATGGGCCTCTCTTTCTTCCTCTCTAAGATCCGACCCTCTTCATCTTCCACTTTCATTCGAAATTTTTTTCCCAAATCAGAAATCTCTCCTCAGCCGCCCGCAGCGTTTCCTCGGTCGACTACGGCTGTTCTCCACCTCTTTTGGGTAATCTCTTTCATCATCCTCCTTGTTTCCATTCTCTCTTAGGGTTTCATTGGCTAATCTAGGGTTTTTAATTCAATTTCTGTTTCTCTTGCATCCATAAAACCGTAGTTGTGTAATTATGCCTCCTAAGAAGGGATCCAAGCCTGAATCTAGTTCCTCATCTATCACTGCCTCCCATTATGAGGATTATCTTCTGTTTAAACAGTTCCTCATCTATCACTGCCTCCCATTATGAGGATTATCTTCTGTTTAAACCCCTAATTAAGAAATATAGGGAGCTATGCAAACTAAAAATCCTATTATGAGGATTATCTTCTGTTTAAACCCCTAATTAAGAAATATAGGGAGCTATGCAAACTAAAAATCCTGCCTACTAGATATATCAAGTATGATCAATTAGCCATCTATGACATTCATAGGATTCTACATGATGTTCGGTTGGCTAAACTGTTAGATGTGGAATGCAAAGTTCCTTATTATTCATTTTTGGTATATTTGTTTTATGCAAATTTGCCTGTCACTTCCACAGCTGATGGTGTCCAAACCATCTCCACATCTATTAAAAACATCCAGATTTCTTTTAATGCCGACGAACTTGTGGGAGTCCTTAAGATCCCGTCAAGCGATGTCGAGCTTATGTCTATCGAACACACTGATCAAGCTGTGAATGATATCATGTTTAAGCCCGGTTGCACCTACCCAATGAACAACAAATCACTCAATCCCACTGCTAAAATTATAGCTCGTATTGTTGCTCAAAACCTTGTTCCCAAAACCGGGAGTTTTGATCACTTTGCCCCTGATAAAGTTAATGCAGTTTTTACCATCTTTGCCCAAATAAAAGTGAATTGGGCTAATCATTTTCTCA